AAGAGAAAGGACCCAACGCAACAAAATCATGAATGAAAGAGGAGAGATCACAACCAACACCAAAGAAATACAAACAATTATAAGAACATATTATGAGCAACTCTATGTCAGCAAGTTAGATAACCTGGAAGAAATGGATACATTCCTAGAGATGTATCAACTACAAAACTGAACCAGGAAGAAATAGAAAACCTGAACAGACCTATAACCACTAAGGAAATTGAAGCAGTCATCAAAAATCTCCCAAAAACCAAAAGCCCAGGGCCAGATGGCTTCCCAGGGGAATTCTACCAAACATTTAAAGAAGAATTAATACCTATTCTTCTGAAACTGTTCCAAAAAATAGAAATGGAAGGAAAACTTCCAAACTCATTTTATGAGGCCAGCATTACTTGATCCCAAAATCAGACAAATACCCCATCAAAAAGGAGAATTACAGACCAATATCCCTGATGAACATGGATGCAAAAATTCTCACCAAAATACTAGCCAATAGGATCCAACAGTACATTAAAAGGATTATTCACCACGACCAAGTGGGATTTATCCCTGGGCTACAAGGTTGGTCCAACATCTGCAAATCAATCAATGTGATACAATACATTAACAAAGGAAAGAACAAGAATCATATGATCCTCTCAATAGATGCAGAAAAAGCATTTGACAAAGTACAGCAACCTTTCTTGATCAAAACTCTTCAGAGTATAAGCATAGAGGGTACATACCTCAATATCATAAAACCATCTATGAAAAACCTACAGCGAATATCATTCTCAATGGGGAAAAACTGAGAGCTTTCCCCCTAAGGTCAGGAACACGGCAGGGATGTCCACTATCACCACTGCTATTCAACATAGTATTGGAAGTCCTAGCCACAGCAATCAGACAACAAAAAGAAATAAAAGGCATCCAAATCAGCAAAGAAGAAGTCAAACTCTCACTCTTTGCAGATGATATGATACTTTATGGAAAACCCATAAGACTCCACCCAAAAACTGCTAGAACTCATACAGGAATTCAGTAAAGTGGCAGGATATAAAATCAATGCACAGAAATCAGTGGCATTCCTATACACCAACAACAAGACAGAAGAAAGAGAAATTAAGGAGTTGATCCCATTTACAATTGCACCCAAAACCATAAGATACCTAGGCATAAATCTAACCAAAGAGACAAAGGATCTGTACTCAGAAAACTATAAAATACTCATGAAAGAAATTGAGGAAGACACAAAGAAATGGAAAAATGTTCCATGCTCATGGATTGGAAGAACAAATATTGTGAAGATGTCAATGCTACCTAGAGCAATCTACACATTTAATGCAATCCCCATCAAAATACCATCCACTTTTTTCAAAGAAATGAAACAAATAATCCTAAAATTTGTATGGAACCAGAAAAGACCCCGCATAGCCAGAGGAATGTTGAAAAAGAAAAGCAAAGCTGGTGGCATCAGAATTCTGGACTTCCAGCTCTATTACAAAACTGTCATCATCAAGACAGCATGGTACTGGCACAAGAACAGACACATAGATCAATGGAACAGAATAGAGAGCCCAGAAATGGACCCTCAAATCTATGGTCAACTAATCTTTGACAAAGCAGGAAAGAATGTCCAATGGAAAAAAGACAGCCTCTTCAACAAATGGTGTTGGGAAAATTGGACAGCCACATGCAGAAGAATGAAACTGGACCATTTCCTTACACCACACACAAAAATAGACTCCAAATGGTTGAAAGACCTCAATGTGAGACAGGAGTCCATCAAAATCCTAAAGGAGAACACAGGCAGCAACCTCTTTGACCTCATCCGAAGCAACTTCTTCCTAGAAACATCGCCAAAGGCAAGGGAAGCAAGGGCAAAAATGAACTATTGGGACTTCATCAAGATAAAAAGCTTTTGCAAAGCAAAGGAAACAGTCAACAAAACCAAAAGATAACCGACAGAATGGGAGAAGATATTTGCAAATGACATATCAGATAAAGGGCTAGTATCCAAAATCTATAAAGAACTTATGAAACTCATCACCCAAAGAACAAAGAATCCAATCAAGAAATGGGCAGAAGACATGAACAGACATTTTTCCAAAGAAGACATCCAAATGGCCAACAGACACATGAAAAAGTACTCAATATCCCTCGGCCTCAGGGAAATCCAAATCAAAACCTCAATGAGATACCACCTCACACCAGTCAGAATGGCTAAAATTAACAAGTCAGGAAACGACAGATGTTGGTGGGGATGCGGAGAAAGGGGAACCCTCCTACACTGTTGGTGGGAATGCAAGCTGGTGCAGCCACTCTGGAAAACAGTATGGAGGTTCCTCAAAAAGTTGAAAATAGAGCTACCCTATGATCCAGCAATTGCACTACTGGGTATTTACCCCAAAGATACAAAAGTAGGGATCGGAAAGGGTACGTGCACCCCGATGTTTGTAGCAGCAATGTCCACAATAGCCAAACTGTGGAAAGAGCCAAGATGTCCATCAACAGATGAATGGATAAAGAAGATGTGGTATATATATACAATGAAATATTATGCAGCCATCAAAAGGAATGCGATCTTGTCATTTGCAACGACGTGGATGGAAATGGAGGGTATTATGTTGAGCGAAATAAGTCAAACAGAGAAAGACATGTATCATATGATCTCAGTGTTATGAGGAATTCTTAATCGCAGGAAACAAACTGAGGGTTGCTGGAGTGGGGGGTGGGGTGGGAGGGATGGGGTGACTGGGTGATCGACACTGGGGAGGGTATGTGCTCTGGTAAGTGCTGTGAATTGTGCAAGACTGTTGAATCTCAGATCTGTACCTCTGAAACAATAATGCAATATATGTTAAGAAAAAAAAAAAGAAGAAGAAGAAGGTAGTGGGAGGGGAAGAATGAAGCGGGGGAAATTGGAGGGGTAAACGAACCATGTGAGACGATGGACTCTGAAAAACAAACTGAGGGTTCTAGAGGGGAGGGGGGTGGGAGGATGGGTTAGCCTGGTGGTGGGTATTGAGGAGGGCACATTCTGCATGGAGCACTGGGTGTTATGCACAAAAAATGAATCATGGAACACTACATCTAAAACTAATGATGTAATGTATGGGGATTAACATAAGAATAAATAATAAATAAATAAAATGAAATAAAAGAAGATGTGGTATATACAATGGAATATTACGCAGCCATCAAAAAATGAAATCTTGCCATTTGCAATGATGTGGATGGAACTAGAGGGTATTATGCTGAGCAAAATAAGTCAGTCAAAGATTGACAAACACTATATTATTTAATTCATATGTAGAATTAAAGAAACAAAACAGATGAACATAGGGGAAAGGAAGGAAAAATAAGAGGAAACAGAGAGGGAGGCAAACCATAAGAGACTCTTAACTATAGGAAATAAACTGAAGGCTGCTGGAGGGCAAATGGGTGGGGCGATGGGGTAACTGGGTGATGGGCATTAAGTGGTCGCCTGAAGTAATGAGCACTGGGTGTTGTATGCAACTTATGAATCACTGAATTCTACCTCTGAAACTGATAATGTGGTACATATTAATTAAATTGATTTTATTTTATTTTTTTGTAGTTTTTAATTTTATTATATTATGTTAGTCACCATACAATACATCATTAGTTTTTGATGTAGTGATCCACGATCCATTGTTTTCGTATCACACCCAGTGCTCCATGCAGTGCGTGCCCTCCTTAATACCCATCACTGGGCTAACCAATCCCCCCTACCCCCTCCCCTCTAGAACCCTGTTTGTTTCTCAGGTTCATAGTCTCTCATGGTTCATCTCTCCCTCCAATTCCCCCCCCCCCATTTTTCCCTTCCTTCTCCTAATGTCCTCCATGTTATTCCTTATGTTCCACAAATAAGTGAAACCAGATGATAATTGACTTTCTCTGATGGACTTACTTCGCTTAGCATAATCTCCTCCATTCCCATCCATGTTGATGTAAAAGTTGGGTATTCATCCTTTCTGATGGCTGAGTAATATTCCATTGTATATATGGACCACATCTTCTTTATCCATTCATCTGTTGAAGGGCATCTCGGCTCTTTCCACAGTTTGGCTATTGCGGACATTCCTTCTATGAACATTGGGGTGCATATGGCCCTTCTTTTCACTACATCTGTGTCTTTGGGATAAATACCCAGGAGTGCAATTGCTGGGTCATAGGGTAGCTCTATTTTTAAATTTTTGAGGCACCTCCACACTATTTTCCAAAGTGGCTGTACCAACTCGCATTCCCACCAACAGTGTAAGAGGGTTCCCCTTTCTCCACAACCTCTCCAACATTTGTTGTTTCTTTCCCTGTCCATTTTTGCCATTCTAACTGGTGTAAGGTGGTATCTCAGTGTGGTTTTGATTTGGATTTCCCTGATGGCTAATGATGATGAACATTTTTTCATGTGTCTGTTAGCCATTTGTATGTCTTCTTTGGAGAAGTGTCTGTTCATGTCCTCTGCCCACTTTTTGACTTGATTATTTGTTTTTTGGGTGTTGAGTTTGAGAAGTTGTTTATAGATTTTGGATACCAGCCCTTTATCTGTAGTGTCATTTGCAAATATCTTCTCCCATTCTGTGGGTTGCCTCTTTGTTTTCTTGACTGTTTCCTTTGCTGTGCAGAAGCTTTTGATCTTGATGAAGTCCCAAAAGTTCATTTTTGCTTTTGTTTCACTAGCTTTTGGAGATGTATCTTGAAAGAAGTTGCTGTGGCCGATGTCAAAGAGGTTACTGCCTATGTTCTCCTCTAGGATTTTGATGGATTCCTGTCTCACATTGAGGTCTTTCATCCACTTTGAGTTTATCTTTGTGAGTGGTGTTAGAGAATGGTCGAGTTTCATTCTTCTGCATGTGGCTGTCCAATTTTCCCAGCACCATTTATTGAAGAGACTGTCTTTTTTCCATTGCATGTTTTTTCCTGCTTTGTCAAAGATTATTTGACCATAGAATTGAGGGTCCATATCTGGGTTCTCTATTCTGTTCCATTGGTCTGTATGTCTGTTTTTGTGCCAGTACCATGCTGTCTTGGTGATCACTGATTTGTAATATAGCTTGAAATTGGGGTACGTGATGCCCCCAGCTTTATTTTTCTTTTTCAATATCTCCTTGGCGATTCGGGGTCTTTTCTGATTCCATACAAATTTTAGGATTGTTTGTTCCAGCACTTTGAAAAATGTCATTGGAATTTTGATCGGGATGGCATTGAAGGTATAGATTGCTCTGGGTAGCATAGACATTTTAACAATGTTTATTCTTCTGATCCATGAGCATGGAATAGTTTTCCATCTTTTTGTGTCTTCTTCAATTTCTTTCATGAGTGTTCTGTAGTTCCTAGATTATAGATCCTTTACCTCTTTGGTTAGGTTTATTCCGAGGTATCTTATAGTTTTTGGTGCTATTGTAAATGGAATTGTTTCTTTAATTTCTCTTTCTACAGTTGCGTTGTTAGTGTATAAGAAAGCAACTGATTTCTGAGCATTGATTTTGTATCCTGCCACATTACTGAATTGCTGGATGAGTTCTAGTAATTTGGGGGTGGAGTCTTTTGGGTTTTCCACATAAAGTATCATGTCCTCTGCAAAAGGAAAGAGTTTGACTTCTTCTTTGCCAATTTGAATACCTTTTATTTCTTTTTGTTGTCTGATTGCTGTTGCTAGGACTGCTAGTACTATGTTGAACAACAGTAGTGAAGAGTGGGCACCCTTGACGTGTTCCTGATCTTAAGGGAAAGGCTCTCAGCTTTTCCCCATTGAGGATGATATTCGCTGTGGGTTTTTCATAGATGGATTTTATGAACTTGAGGAATGTTCCCTCCATCCCTATACTCTGGAGAGTTTTAATCAGGAAAGGATGTTGTATTTTGTCAAATGCTTTTTCTGCATCAATTGAGAGGACCATATGGTTCTTCTCTCTCCTCTTATTAATGTGTTCTATCACACTGATTGATTTGCGAATGTTGAACCACCCTTGCATCCCGGGGATAAATCCCACTTGGTCGTGGTAGATGATCTTTTTAATGTATTGTTGGATCCTATTAGCTAGGACTTTGTTGAGGATTTTGGAATCCATATTCATCAGGGATATCGGTCTGAAATTCTCTTTTTTGATGGGGTCTTTGCCTGGTTTGGGGATTAAGGTAATGCTGGCCTCATAGAATGAGTTTGGAAGTTTTTCTTCTGTTTCTATTTTTTGAAACAGCTTCAGTAGAATAAGTATTATTTTTTCTTTGAATGTTTGGTAGAATTCCCCAGGGAATCCATCAGGCCCTGGACTCTTGTGTTTTGGGAGGTTTTGGATCACTGCTTCAATCTCGTTACTGGTTATTGGCCTATTCAGGTTGTCAATTTCTTCCTGTTTCAGTCTTGGCAGCTTATAGGTTTCCAGGAAAGCCTCCATTTCATCCAGATGGCTCAGTTTCTTGGCATATAGTTGTTGATAATAATTTCTAATAATTGTTTCTATTTCCTTGGTGTTAGTGGTGATCTCTCCCCTTTCATTCATAATTTTATTAATTTGGGTCCTTTCTCTCTTTTTTTGGATAAATCTGGCCAGTGGTTTATCAATCTTATTAATTCTTTCAAAGAACCAACTTCTAGTTTCGTTGATCTGATCTACTGTGTTTCTGGTTTCTAATTCATTGATTTCTGCTCTAATTTTCATTATTTCTCTTCTAATGCATGGCTTAGGCATTGTTTGTTGCTTTTTCTCTAGTTCTTTAAGGTGTAGAGTTAGTTGGTGAATTCGGGATTTTTCTATTTTTTTGAGTGAGGCTTGGATGGTTCTGTATTTCCCCCTTAGGACTGCCTTTGCAGTATCCCATAGGTTTTGGACCGATGTGTTTTCGCTCTCATTGATTTCCATGAATTGTTTAAGTTCTTCTTTGATTTCTTGGTTGACCCAAATAGTCTTAGCAGAGTGGTCTTTAGCTACCAAGTGTTTGAATTTCTGCCAAAATTTTCTTGTGATTGAATTCCAGTTTTAGAGCATTGTGCTCTGAGAATATGTAGGGAATAATCTCAATCTTTTGGTATCGGTTGAGACGTGATTTGTGACTCAGTATATGGTCTATTCTGGAGAAAGTTCCATGTGTGCTCGGGAAGGAGTATTCTGTTTTTTTAGGGTGGAATGTTCTGTAAATATCTATGAGGTCCATCTGGTCCAATGTATCATTCAAAGCTCTTGATTCCTTGTTGATTTTCTGCTTAGATGATCTGTCCATTGCTGAGAGTGGAGTATTGATGTCTCCTACAATTAACGTATTGTTATCAATATGACTATTTTGGTGAACAGTTGGCTTATGTAGATGGCTGCTCCCATGTTGCGGGCATAGATATTTACAATTGTTAGATCTTCTTGTTGGATAGACCCTTTAAGAATGATATAGTATCCTTCTGTGTCTCTTATTACAGACTTCAGTTTAAAATCTAATTTGTCTGATATAAGAATTGCTACCCCAGCTTTCTTTTGAGGTCCGCTGGCATGGAAGATAGATCTCCATCCCTTCACTTTCAGTCTGGATGTATCTTTAGGTTCAAAATGAGTCTCTTGTAGACAGCATATGGATGGGTCCTGTCTTTTTATCCAATCTGCAACCCTGTGCTGTTTTATGGGAGCATTTAGGCCATTCACGTTGAGAGTGATTATTGAAAGATATGAATTAATTGTCATCATGTTGCCTGTGAAGACGTTGTTTTTATAGATTGTCCCTGTAAATTTCTGTTGTAGATCACTCTTGGGGTCTTTCTTCTTTTATAGAACCCCCCTGAATATTTCTTGCAGGGCCGGCTTACTGGTCACATATTCTTTCAACTTCTGCTGGTCATGGAAGCTCTGCATCCCTCCATCCATTCTAAATGAAAGCCTTGCCGAACAAAGTATTTTTGGCTGCATGTTCTTCTCATTTAGTACCCTGAATATGTCTTGCCAGGCCTTTCTGGCTTTCCAGGTCTCTGTGGATAGGTCTGACGTTATTCTGATGTTCCTCCTCTGTACGTAAGGAATCTCTTCCCCCTAACTGCCCTTAAGATGGTTTCCTTGGTTCTAAGATTTGCAAGTTTTACTATTACATGCCAGGGTGTTGGTCTGTTTTCCTTGATCTTAAGAGGGGTCCTCTCTGCCTCTAGGACTCGAATGTTTGTTTCATTCCCCAGATTAGGAAACTTCTCAGCTATGATTTGCTCAAATACATCTTCTAGCCCTCTCTCTCTCTCCACTCCCTCCGGGATTCCAATGATTCTGACATTGGAATGCCTCATGGTGTCACTTATTTCTCTGATTCTATTTTCCTGGATTCTGAGTTGTTTTCCCCTGGCCTCCTCTTTTCCCTTTTTATCTATTATACTGTCTTCCAGATCGCTTATTCTCTCTTCTGTCTCAGTTACCCTAGCTGTTAGATTATCTAGATTGGATTGGATCTCATTGATAGCATTTTTAAGTTCTGCCAATTCACCTTTTATTTCTGCCCTTAGAGACTCTATGTTGCCATTAATTGATTTCTGCATTCTAGCCATTGTCTTCACAATTGCTAGCCTGAATTCCATCTCTGACATCTTGGTTATGTCTGCATCCATTTGTAAATTTTCAGCATAAGTCATAATCTCTGAGTCTTTTCTGTTTTGGGGGCTCCTCCTCCTAGTCATTCTGTTGATGGGTGGTTGATGGAATGTATAGAGTCCAAATTATTGACCAGAACCCAAGCAAGATGCACCTGTTTTCTTGGGACCTTAGGGTTGCTGGCCTCTTGTTTTCCCAGCCTGTCCTCTGTGGGAGGGGCCTGCCACGCTGTTATTCAGGCAACCCTGTTTGGGCAGAGTTGCCCTGTGTCCCTGTGGCGGGGAATGGGCTCAGTGGGAACCAGTTGTGGGGGCTTTCGTTCTCTGGCGCCTTTCCCTGGCGGCTTTCTGCATCTCTTCCATGAGTCAGAGCAGAAGAGACTGTTTCCAACCCTCTGCCTCAGAGCAGAGAGACCTCAGTCTGTTCTTCAGTGAGCTCTCCAGCCCACACCATCTCCGTTTCTGTCCATGCTGCTATAAACTGCAGCGTCCTGGATTTTGCGCCTCTCCGCAGCGCTCCCAGTCCTGCCTCCAGGTCTGGGCACCTCTCTGCCCTTTGTGCTTCTAAAACCACCAGCTGCTCCCAATTCGTGTGCACGGAACTCCGCCGCTTGGGGTTTCCACCCCCAGGGTTGCACTTCACCAGCACGACCCTGGTGCACCGGGTTTCCGTCTCGGAGGCTGCAGTTCGCGTGCGTGCGACCGTCGCTTCGGTTTCTGTCAGGGGGGATGCAGTTCGTATGTGCGCTATCATCGTTCCGGTTTCTATGGGGGGGGGGGTGCTGCAGTTCGCGTGCGCGTGACCCCGCCGGTCTGGTTTTCCACCCCGGGGGCTGCCCTAAAGTTCATTCCCCGCGCTACCGGTCTGCAAGTCTGTGCCCCGTCTGCAGCGCGCGAGGCTGTCACTCACCGGCGGTGTAGGATCCCCACGTCCAGGCACCCTCCCGCCGCCGTTTATCCTCCGATATCTGCCTGCAGGATCAGGGCTCTCAGCTTTGTACCTCAAAACCAACTGCCTGTGATATTCTGTTTGTAGAGATCCAGATCTTCTTACATCTCAGGCTGGTTTCGTGGGTGCTCAGAGTGGTCTGGTAGTTATCCAACTCAATTTCGGGGACCAGTTGAAATAGGGTCCCCTACTCCTCCGCCATCTTTCCCCTCCTCATTAAATTGAATTTAAATTAAAAAAATTAAGAAAGAATGAAACATTATATAACTTAAATATAGGTGTAAAATCTCAGGAGCAGAATTCTAAAGAAGGGAGAAAAAGAGAAATATAAACTAAGCATAAAGGCTCAGGTGAAAAAAAGATCTCAAATAAAAGAATAGAAATAAGCTCAATTAAATCAGTAATTACAATAAAAGTAAATGTATCAGAATTACCATTCAAAAGACATATATTTGCAGGTTGTATTAAAAACAACAAAAGCTGGGGTGCCTGGGTGGCTCAGTCAGTTTGGCATTTGACTTGATTTTGGCTCAGTTCATGGTCTCTTGTTCATGGGGTTGAGCCCTGTGTTTGTCTCAATGATCAGTGGGGAGTCTTCTTTTCCTCACTCTTTCCCTCTCCTTCTGCCCCTCCCCCTGCTCACGATCTCTATATCTCTAAAATAAAATAAATAAGGCTTCTAAAAAAGCAGTTATATGCTGTTTACAAGAGACATAAAACAAAAATACCCAGAGAAATTGAAAGTGAATGAATAAAGATGAACTAGGCAAATACTAACCAGTAAACACACACACACACACACACACATTAATATTAGATAAAATACACTTTCAGGCAAAAAAAACTTTATTCGGGGAAAATATTATTATTCATAATAAAATATGCAATTCATTAAGAAGATATAATTGCTTTAAATTTGTATGCCTGCAATAACATAGCCTCAAAATATATAAGGGAAAATAAAGGCAAACTCAGACTGACTTTATAATGTCATTTCTGAGGATGAGGATGAAAGTGTGAACTTTGTAACACAGGATGTCTATTGTTTTACCTTCCCTGGTGTCCTGCTTTTCTGATAATTGTTCCCAGGAATGTATATCAAAAATGGAGTATGACTAATAAATACTTTAAGTTGTGGAACTGGCTAAATGAAGCTGCTGGGTTGAAAGTGATGAGGATCCACCTGATGTGGGAATTAGGGAACTGATGGTCTGGTTCATGTGGTGGCAAAGAATCTGCTTTAACTATTAGACATTGTCCCTTAGGACTCTAACCCACTGTCCAGAGAGACTGTATCTTTAGGCAACTTGGCAATAAAATGACAGGAGTATGTTAAACTACTTCAGGTGTCTTTAGTGAAAAGATACCAGAGACAAAATCTAGGATGAAGCCCCTCTGAAAGCAGGTGGGAAATAAGGAGGCAATTTTTTAGCTTTAATAAAAGAGGAATCCGTTGCCAATAGCCATGAAGCAGAGACAGCCAAGAGCCAGATTATCATGTGCGTTGTGGGATGGGAGCTGCTACAAAATATGCTTTACTCTGCTTCTAAAGCTGTCCAGGGAACTATGGAATTTTGGCTGCTGGAATGAAGATACTGGGAGGATTTCTAGGAGCCAGGCAATACTTCCAAACCTTACCTCTCCCTTGGGATAGCGGTAGCGATATTTATCTTGGTCCCGTAGTGCAAATTCTTCAGGATAGTGTTCCTGGATTTCTTCATAGGTCATCTCCTCACAGACACCCTGAGAAAAATTATTTGGGGACAAAAGTATTCACAAGGTGAAATCCATACCTTTACCATAGTTCTGAATCCAGTGATTATGGAACAGCAGCACACAAGCACCTGGTTGTCTGTGAAGACAGCTTTATGTTTGTGCCTATTGTCTGAGTGTGTGTATGTGTGTGTGTGTGCATGAGATGTGTGTATGTGAGAGTGTGCACATGTGTACAGGTGTGTTCAGTTTGAGTATGTAGTATATGGCGGGTACGTGTGTGGTGTTTCTCTATGATTGTCCCAATAGGTTTGTAGATGTACATTGTACATTTAAGTATGTATTTTATAAATATATGGGCTTAAGAATTTTAGACTGTATTTGTGTGTATATGTGTATCATGCTGGTATGTTTAAAGACATAGGCCTTGTATTTGTGTATTTGTCTCAGTATTTGTAGTGTGTTTGGTGAGTGTGTCTGTGTACAGGTTGTCTGAGCATCTTAGAATATGCCCACATGAGTGTCTCTGTGGTCTGTTTCTCCATGTGTGTCTAGTGTGTCTGTGGCATGTATTTCTGTGAGTGTGTATGTCTCTGATTATGTCTCTGGTGTATATGTGTGAGTAGATGTATGCCTATGCCTGAGGTCATGTGAATTTATGTATGTATCTCTAAGTGTGTCTGTGAGTGTGTATGTGTGTGCATGCATGGTGCAGGTGTAGATTGGTAGATGTATCTGAAACGGATCCTATGTCAGACTAGAAGGTCAGTGTGTCTGTGAAGTGTATGTCTGTGAGTGTAAGCATATTTGTGGTGGGTGTCTATGACTGTGTATACAAGCACACACATGTGTGCACATACATAGCAGTGCTCTCCCATTTTATAGCATTTCCCATCCCCTCTGCTCCTACCTATGCTCCAGGACCTCTGGCAGAAAAAGAAACAGGTATCCACAGATATCTCAGAAGACAAGAATTAACAAATTCCTAACAGTTTCAGAGTGGGCCTTGGGGAAATACAGTCTTCTCACCCAAAGCAGGAATCCAGAGCTCAGAGAATGAGTTCCTCAGGAGTACATGAGAGCTTCCCAAGTTCACTTAAAAATCCCCGGAAGTGAGGTGGCTGCTGGGAGTGGGGGTGGGAAGCAATGTTGGGTTTATAAGGTTTCCTTTTTGATTGTGTGGATTCCAATTAGACTTTCCTGTAAGGAGCAACAGGCTCTGGTTGTTGTCTTTTGAATTATATACCAGCCTTTCTTTAGGGGTGAAGTTCACCCCTGCCATAGCCCACAAAACAGCTATGCAGTGTCAAATTTCTCTACTGACACTGTCCATGGGAGAAAGTGCACTCTACTGGATACACAAGATCCTTCCAGATTAGCTTTGACTTTCTATTTTGAGGCATGCTGGGAGCCTGTTGCCTGTGGTAATGACCACTGACTTCATATTGACTTAAGGCAAATACCCTAACCTCTTTGAATTTTATTTTCCTCATCTGAAAAATGAGGAGAATTACAACGACCTCACAAAAGTGTTTTGAATATTAGAAATAATATATGTAAAAGAGCCTAGCACAGAATGTACAAGGCACATTTTAAAGACTCAATCAGTATATATATTATATACTGATATTAATATATTAATTAATTAATATTATATTATAAATAACATTATATAAAATATATTATGATATATAATATATTAGTAAATTAATATTATATTAATAATTAATTAATAATATATTATTGATCATGGAAAATAAACCAGAAACTTAGGCATCATTCTAAATTATTACTTCTTCCTTACTCCTCCCCTAGAGCAAATTTCTGTAATTCTATCTGTTAAATTTCTCAAAAATCTATTCCTTTTTCTTTCCCATCTCCACTGCTACAATCTTAGCAGTTACACACACACACACACACACACACACACTACCTTCTTTGTTTATGCGTCTCTCTGCCTGACATACCATTCCTGATCCTCTCTACCTGGCTCACTGTTAATTAACTCTCAGCTAGGCATCACTTCCTCCAGGCAGATCCTGGCTGGGTCAGATGCTTTGCCTGGACATCTGTGCCTATCAGAGACTATATCACACATACTGTTTTGTATTCCTGTTTTTTTTTTTTTCTATCTACCCTGTTTCGACTGAAAATTCAATGAAGACAAGGATCAATTTCTCTCTCCAGCACCACCCCAGAGTCTGAAACAAAGTAGGTATACAATAAATGCTTACACCACATGTGGGCCAGAAACAAGTAGTGACTGATCTCTTATGATGAAGGTTTATATATTTGCTTGAATGTGTTTTATAGCAACTATATGTGATATGTAGAACAATACTGTATATTCCTTTTCTAAATATGCATATCTCTGTACATCTATAGCTAAGTACAAGTGTATGTGTGTAGACACACATATACTTTTTATATTTATTGAAGTATATCTACCAGGCAAGCAAGTTAACCTAACTACATGCAAGTTATCTATACTTGTGATAAAGCTTTTACTTTTACGTCTAACAATCATAACCTGTGGACTGCTACCTAATGTCAGTTTACCTATAGCTCAGGTGAGACAATGGGGAGGAGAAAATGCCATCGCAAAGAGCACATGGAAAACCTGACTCTGAAGCAAGATTGCTATGTCATGAGGGTCAGATGGTCTTTCTTCTTCATTCTATTTCCAAAGCCACTACTCTGGTCCATTGTCACCTCTTGCCTGGATTAATGCAGCCATCCCCATACTGATCTACATACTCATTCTGGTCCTCTTCCTACCTAGTTTCCACACATGACCAGAATGGTCTCTTATTTATTTATTTATTTATTTATTTATTTATTTATTTATTTATTTATTTATATTCGTCAAGTATCATTAACATATACTGTTATATTAGTTTTAGGTGTATAACATAATGATTTAACAATTCTGTTTTTCAGTGCTCATCAAGATAAGTGTACTCTTAATACACTGTGTCTATTTCACTCATCCTCCTGCTCACCTCCCTTCTGGCAACCCACCAGTTTGTTTATGTAAGAGTCTGTTTTTTGTTTATCTCCTCTTTTTTCTTTGTTTATTTATTACATTCTGCATATGAGTGAAATAATACGGTATTGTCTTCTTTTTAAGAATGTGAATCACATTCAGGCCACTTCTTAACTTAGACCACATCATTGGCTTCCCATTTTTAGGGCAGCACCCAAATGCCTCAACATGAATTATAAAACTCTTTGAGCTGCCTTCCTTTCCAACCTCATCTCCCTTATACTTCCCTTCTTACAACGTTTTGTCATAGGATATGCACTGTCTTATTTATGGCTTGCTTTTGGGCTCCATGAGGACAGAGAACATGTCTATTCTGGCCTTCACTGGCTCCCCAGCACACAGAACAGTGTATGGTATATGGCTGGTTGTTGAGAAATATTTGTTGAATTAATTGTGCTCTTCATAGGAGCCAAAGCAGAGGCAATCCAGGGGATAAGCCCAGAGTCAAGTCCCATCAGCCACCAGGAAATCCATCCCCCTCCATCTCACCGCATCAATTTCGTTCAGGGCCTTCCACTGCTCGTAGGGAACACCCAGGGCCTCAGCTGTCTGGATAGTCCTCTTCATGTGGCTGGTCCACACCTTCAGGGAGCTGATGCCCTGGGACTGAATGAAGTTAGCCAGGGCATAGGCGTACTGGGGGGTGGGGTTACACAGGATGAGAAAAGGGAAGAAAGAGAGAGATGAAAGAAGACAGAGTAGCTGTGAGATCTGCCATAAATGGTGAAATGATGATGAACAAGAAAGAGTAGAATTTAAATGTTTCCAATTTATAAACAAGGATATGACAAGGATCAAGGGAATAGAAAAGGTTATGTGTGTTTATGTGTGTGTGTGTGTGTGTGTTCATTGACACTTGCTTATTAAACCCCTTACTCAGTTATTCATTCAAATAGCCCACGTCTGGCGTTTGTGAAGCCTGGAACAAGACTACAAATGGAGGCACTCTACCTGGTCAACCTCCTTTCTCTTCTCATTTCTGCCTCCATCCTGCACTTGTAGGTGCCTTGAGTACATGTTTGTAGATAACCTAGTCACATGACCAAATTCTGTCCACACCCTATTTCCACAGATTCCCATGATCCACAAACAGTGACCCTTCAGCCACCCTTTTGCCTAGGGGTAAACACTAAAAACTAACCCAGGTGGACAGACTCTGGGATAGACCCACACAGGCATGGAAAGCAAGCCAGAAGGGTAGGGGATTCTGGGTTTTGGGTCCTCAAAGTGTGGTCTAGGAGTAGGGGGTGTGGGATTTGGGGGACATTTCTTTTTGACTCTGGGGATTCTCATTTGCTTGAGTTGGAGTCTTGGAACCCAGCTTCTAAGGGCATTCGAACATATACTGAGTGCGTGTGGTCATGTGCTGCGTATCAGGGTGTCCTGTTCTCAAAACACAGCCAGTCCAGTAAGGGAAACAATGACAGCACTGAGAGGAAACATGAAAAGCTGTGGGAGCTAAATGAGCAAGTGATTTTTTTCTTTCACATAGAGTCATGTTATTAGTCACAGGTGGTATGTGAGGAACATTGGCACAAATGCATAGATGTATTTATATGTACATGTGTATGTACAAATAGAAGTATTGTGTATACACATTCTAATTATAGATTATGAGTCAATAGTCAGTGTGCTCTGGTGTAAGGAGCCCTTGATTGGGAAGCAAGCAACAGGGGTTAAACTTCCCAGCATCCTTATATGGTCCCTGTGTGACCTGGGACACATCCCCGTTTCTCTCTGGCCTTATAGCTTCTGCCTGTAAGATGTGAACAGCATTAGCTCACTGAATCTTGTCCTATGAGCATCACATTAGATAGTGGAAGAGGAGAACATGGAGTGCCCCCTGACATACAGTAGGTGACAGCCTCTGTGATTGATTATGGGTGAGAGTCGATGGGAAAGTGCTTTGTAAACTGCATGGTGCACTGTGCCCATAAGTATGAAGGTTGGGGCCAAGCATTTATGTGTGCATGCACAAGTTTGTGTGCGAGAGCGGTATGCATTGTGGAGATAGCCATGTGTCCAAACTGGGCATTGAGCTGTATAGGCAGGGCCATAGGTGGCCCCAACCAAGAGACCCCTGGCTGTAGGTGGTGCCATGGAGCAGGGATGATGCCACCAGTACCCTCTGCTCTGAGGAGTAAGATGGGTGGGAGTCAAAGGTCTGAGTCCACCTCAAGGGGAGCCTGCCAGTCTGAAGGTAACAGAAAGGGAGCCATGAGGACCAGGCCTTCCAGTGCAGTGCCTTGCCTAAGACACTACCACCTCTGCAGTGGGGGGATGCTGGGGGGCAGGGAGGAAAGCCTGGTTTTCAATCCTGGCTCTTTTTTACTGGCTGCATGACCTGGGGCTGCTCTTTTCTCCTCCTTGGGCCTCTGCTTCCTCAGGTTTCATAAACCATTAATGGTAATGTCCACCCCACAGAGTTGTTGTGAAGATTGAAAGGGGACACACATGTGGAGGCAGACGGTGCTGTGACTGTGCACAGGTGCCCAATAAAAGAGAGTGCTTCCTCCCTCCTGCACCTCATTTCCCATTTGTTCTACCCAAGCCATCCTCCCAGCAAGAACAATACCTGTGTTAATAAGCCCAGGCACAGGGCCAAACACTAAGGAAAATGTGTGCCTTTATTTTATTTTATACCTGTAATGTGGAGGTTACTATGCTTGGCTAGAGAGGAGATTCATGCCATAGTCAGAGATGGGCCAGAACTGGGAGAGATGGACCTGCCTGGGAGGGCAGGAGAGGACAGAGGAGGGCTTCCTGGACCAAACCATGGAGCAGCAGCTGGGCCCTGGAAGGGGGTGGGGGGAGAGGGCAGGAAAAGAGCAATAACTGGTGGGGGACAAGTGCTGACAGTGGGATGACCTAAAGTGGGGGTGGGGGCTGTGGCATCAGCCCTGAGTAAGGACGAAAATAGATTCAAGGATGGGGCACCTCAGGGCAGCTCTCAGGGCCTGTGGTGGTCACCAGCTGACAGAGGAGAGCAGCCTAGGTGGGGGAAACTGCACAAGCAAAGGCACAGAGTTGTGAAAGAGAGGAGGGGAACCAGTCAGGCAGGGGTGAAGGGTGCTCACTGTAATGGGGCTGGAGGAGCAGCCAGATTTGGGCAGGCCTGAAGTGTCAAGACCAAGCTAACAGACGTGCAGATGCTGTTAGCACATGGGAGTCACTCAAGGATGGATCAAGACTGAGTGGCTGATTGGGTGGAAGAGCGGGTATGACCAGAACCTGCTTTTACCCTGTCACTGAGTCCTCCCATCCTCAGGACCCATGCAGTGGCTGTACCACCCACCCACAGCCCACCTGGGCCAGCTCAGCCAATGCCTCAGGGTGCATGGGGCCCTTCCTACCTGCTTGCCCCGAGCTGAGAGACCAGAGTCACCTCCGATGCGGCCTCTGAGGTTGAGTTCACTCTCACCGTGCCGGCACAGATAGATGGAGCGGGGTGTGACGTGGATGTTCATGAGATAGTAGACTGTGCGGCTCTGGATGTGGTCCTGCACTCGGTTCACCATGTAGCGTGTGCCCACATCGAAGATCTTGATGTAGGATAGGTGGCTGGGCCAGCCCAAGCAGGAGCAAGGGCAGCTCAGGGGATGATGATGGAGAGGCTGATCCCAAGACAAATCCCCAACCACAAACCCCGCCTTCAAGCCTCTTGTACAATGCAGGTTTCACCTACCTTTCCTCTAACAAAATGTCATGCCTTGCCCTATTCTGGGTACCTGCTCTAGAGACGTGGCTCCTGGCCTCCCCCAAAGAGCTCACTGCCTGCTACCATCTCCCCCTGTTTCCTTTCTTCAGTTTCAGCTTGATCCAGGCTATCTTTTCACATTCACTTTTTACACTCCAGGGATCTGGGTTCCGTCCTTTATAGTTCACACTCTTGAAATCCTCAGAGAAAAGCAGTAATCCTGTGTCCCTGGCTGCCTTCCACATCTTACTGGCAGCTCCTGAATTCTCTACTCAGTCTTTTAAATTTCAAGCTGAGCTCTGCACCTCTGTTCTTCAAGTCTCTGCTATGATATATTGTCTTCGACACCCTACAGGCAGCTACCAGATTGTGTCTGTGCGCACTTGTGTCTGTGTGTGTATATCTCTCTTCCCACTCAGAAAGGGAAAAGGGTTGGGGTTTTTTTCCCTGTCATGCAGTCAGTAAACAAACTCTCCTTTGTTCTAAGCATTGTGCTTGAAGTGGGGACTCAGCATCTGCCCTTTGGGAGCTCTTAGGTCAGTCAAGAACACACACTTGGAAACACATGACCAATGCGCAATACCCCTTCCATAAATAGTCATTCACTCTTAGTTGTGCCAAGTACTGGAATGTGGGGATACAGAGATGGTCCACAACATGGAAATCTTGTGGTCCTTGTTTCAAGTCCCCTTTTATCCCCTCAATTCTGTGCTCTAGTCATGAACTAATAATCATGAGTGATAATCAAACTATTCAACAACCTGTCTGCAGAGGAGCTGGGAATGAGCAATACTGACTAATTGGAAGACTAGTACCATGGAGTAAGTCTTCTGAGGCCCCTACTGTACCAGGCATGAGTCCTTTAGTTGTTGGACTATAGGGAGTTCAAGGAGATCCCTGCAAAGAGGTGGGGAAGGCTGCACCAATGGGGTAGCATACCAGGAACCCTGGATGCACAGTAGCAAAACAAAGTAAATAGAATTAGCTGCACTAACCCAAGGCATGTAAAGCAATGGCTGATGGGTTTGGTTTCAGAAAGCCTCTCCTCTGATCTTCCTAGAGAAGGCCTTTTTATCTGTACCATACTTAATCATTCCCATCCCTGTCATCTATGTTCAACGGTTCCTACAGGACACTTGCACTTGTTGAGCATTTTCTTTTGTGCATCTGGCAGGGAGTGGGGACTTAAAATACATGAATCCTTATAATCATCCTAGGAATCAGGGATTATTACCTGTGTCTTATAGGTGAGGAAACTGAAGCACAGAGAGAGGAAATGATTTGTTTAAGGTTAACCTCTCCAACTATCTTGTCTAGGACTCTCAGTACCTAGCAGTAGAAAATATCTGATGTAGCCTTGTTGCCTAATTACTGTCTGTTCCTGATGCTAGGTCCTGGGTAGCTCTAGGAGAACTTTCAAATTCCTCACCTTAGTCTGACATTCTGGCCCTGCTTGGCCTCACCTCACAGTCCCACACCCACACCCATGCCCATAATTTCTCTGTTTCAATCTAGCCTTCATGCTTTTGCTGGTATATTCTCTAAACTCCCCTACTTTTATTCAGATTTAACTACACTATTCCAAAATGCTCTTCTGTTTGCTTGAAAAGGCATTCCTTGCCTGCTTTCCAAAGCTGAGCTCCTATGCATCCATCCCTTAAGAGCCAGCACTTTCACTCTCTCTAGGAAGTCTTCTTTGAGCTCGGGATCATGTGAAGTCATTTAGAGGTGCTTCCCACCAAAAGTAATATCTTAGCTAGTGCCTATCTCTACCATGTGTAATCTAAAATAAAAATTATAAACTATATTATAAAATGAGGAGGTCTCATGAAATTTTGTGATTTTTTTTCATTTTGACCACATTGATGCTGGTTTTGAAATTAAAATAGTAAAAGCTTTCCAGATTGTTTTATTCCTATTTTTGGTAGATTCCACCTTTCTGGTACCCCATACACATGCCTAGTCTACCTATACTGGGTAAACCTACTCTTCCCGATCTCTTTTCCCAAGCTGGGCTGAGTTTCCTCCTTTGTGTTTCTCTAGCCCACTTGGTTTACCATTTCTACAATTCTGATCAACTGCACATTCATTGGCTCCCCCAACCAACTGGGCATTTTATCACAGCAGGGACAGCCCTTCTCTCTTTAGATTCCTAGGGCACAGCTTTGACTGGGCCCTGATACATGGACTGTAAATGTCTGTTGATGTGAAAATGATTAAATAAAGCCAACCTTCAGAATATGTCATCTTCAGGCCCAAACTGATTCATCAAACACTAACTGAGGACCTGCAGGACTCTAGGCTGAAGACTGGGGGCTTTCTCAATGCTTCTTTCACTTTAGCTCCCCTTCTTCAAGCTTCTTTCACCATATGCTGCTAGTCTCTATGGTGCATTTGTGGAAATTTGAATAAGTTACACTTTTCTCAGGGCAGAAACATCCCCACTCCAGTACACATGCCTTGGTGAGAAAAACAAGTGTACCCTTGACCTGGTTGTCCTTGCACAGTGAACAATCTTTACAATTGTACATAAAGGTCCTGTTCCTTGCACCAAGTGTCTAAGCCTCATGTGACAATTCTTTATGAATTAGGGATGTGGGAGGGGCAGAACTAGGCTGGAAGTCTGAGATAAGGGTTTGAATAAATGTTCTACTGACTCATTATGTGGCCTTAGGTAAGTCCTTGCCCTGTTCTGGGTCTCAGTTTCTCCATTTAAGGAGCAGTGCAGTAACAATACTTGCCTCTTAGGATTTTGGTTGGGCAAAGCTAGAAGGATTCTGCTTAAACTTCTTAAGGTTTTAATGACTATTTGAGGTTTCCTCATACTTCTCACTTGGGGCCCAAGGGGTCTGGGTGACCAGAGTCTCTTCTCATCACAACCCGTTTTGAGGCTTCTGGGAATATCCTATGTCTAAAACTCACATATTCCCTGTACTATTAGCTAACATGTTTCCAATTTTTAGCTGGCATTATGAATGAGAGTTTCATGTTTTTCATGTGTCTTCCCATATGTTAAGGCACTATGGAAGATATCTGCAGATAGAAACCACCTCTCTTGCCATTATTTATACTCCTATGTACACCACAGTTCAAAGAGACCAAATACCTATTGATTGAAGAGGTACATGGGTTTGTGAAAAGAGACATGAGTAGGAGACAAAATATATGGTTAGATTCCTAGTTCTACCCCTTGATTTGTGCTGGGAGCTTGGCAAGTGGTTTCAGCTAAGATTCAATTTCCTCTTCTTGAAAATTTATGAACATAAGATCTATTTTGGCTTCCTTTATAGGGGTGCTGAGGGGATTCAATGAACCAAAGAAGGTGAACATGTTTGGAAACTGAAGTGTCATCCAGGTGTGAGGAATGCTTTTGAAAAAAAATAACAGCAACAACTACAGAAGGGAAGCATTTGTTCTTAGAGATCAGGGTCTTGATCTGCCCATATTGGTCAGGAAGGGACTATTTTAACACTCTCATGGACATTTTATATATCAAGGAATCACTACCCCAGATACTTAGAGCTTGGAGGATCCTTGAAGACAAATAATCAAATCTAGCTCCCTGATTTTACAGATAGAGAAGCTGAGGCCCAGAGAGGGAGGGCATTTTCCCAGGTCCTAAAGGACATCAAAATAGGGTTAAAGATCCAGTCTTGGATTTTAGGGTTCTGGGTTCTTACCTGTCCAGTTCATCATCCAAGGGTTGGTAGTTGACCTTATAGCATTCAATTCTCTTTAGAAAGTCTTCCAGAACCTTTTCCCTGTCACAGTCTATGTAATCAGGGCTGCCAAGTTTTACTTGCTAGGAAAAGGGAGAACAGAAGAACTGTGAGAGACAGAGACTCTAACAGTGACCTTTGGAAGTGCCCTTAGAGATCATTGAGTACAACATCCCTCATCATAGAGATGAGAAAATTGAGACTTAGACAAAGGGTCTTGCCAAGTTACAAATCAGTCAATTTAAGTGAATTTGGAATGTGTGACTCCTTATGCTTTATTTCTATATGATTAAACAAGGTCTGTTACATTGTACTCAGTTCCAGAGCACACAGTGTTTAAGAAGAACATTTAAAAGAAGATGTGGTGGGGTCTCTGGGTGGCTCAGTTGGTTAAGCGTCTGCCTTCGGCTCAGGTCATGATCTCAGTGTCCTGGGATCGAGCTCCGTATCGGGCTCCCTGCTCAGCAGAGAGCCTGTTTCTCCCTCTCCTTCTGCCTGCCGCTCTGCCTACTTGTGCTCTCTCTCTCTTTCAAATAAAGAAATAAAATCTTTAAAAAAAATAAAAGAAGATGTGGGTTGGCTAATTGAATTTAAATAAAAAAATAAAAGAAGATGTGTTGTGTATATATATACAATGGTGTGTGTATATATATATATTACTCAGCCATCAAAAAGAAGAAATCTTACCATTTGCAACAACGTGAATAGAACTAGGGGGTATTATGCTGAATCATAAGAAATAAGAGTAAGAAATAAGTCAATCAGAGAAAGGCAATTATTCTTTTTTTAAAAAAATATTTATTTGAGAGAGAGAGCTTGAGAGAGAGGGGGAGAGAGAGAGAGAACGAGTAAGGGGGAGGGGCAGAAGAAGAGGGAGAAGCCGACTACCCACTAAGCAGGGAGCCCAATGCAGGACTCAGTTCCAGGACTCTGGGATCATGACCTGAGCCAAAGGCAGACGCTTAACCGACTGAACCACCCAGGTGCCCCGATTTCACTCATGTGTGGAATTTAAGAAACAAAACAGAGGATCATAGAGGAAGGCAGGGAAAAATAAAATAATATGAAATCAGAGAGGGAGACAAACCATAAGAGACTCTTAACCATAGGAAACAAACTGATGTTTGCTGGAGGGGAGGTGATAGGGGGATGGGGTAACTGGGTAATGGGCATTAAGGAGGGCACTTGATGTAATGAGCAATGGTTGTTATATGCAACTGATGAATCACTGACTCTACCTCTGAAACTAATACTACACTATATGTTAATTAATTGAATTTAAATTAAAAAAATTAAAAATAAAAGAGGACCAGAAATTGTGATGTGAGAAATGGTTGAAGAAGAGGAACAGGAGATTTTGACCAGGGGTCATAATGGCTTACATGTATTGAGTGTTTAATGAGAAACATGGCATGTTGGCTTTAAATTTCTGAAAAGTTGACGTCTCCTAATCCCCCAATGCCTATCTTCTCTATATTTATTATTTTTTTTATTCTTATGTTAATCCCCATACATTACATCATTAGTTCTAGATGAAGTGTTCCATGATTCATTGTTTGTGCATAACACCCAGTGCTCCATGCAGAACATGCCCTCCTCAATACCCACCACCAGGCTAACCCATCCTCCCACCCCCCTCCCCTCTAGAACCCTCAGTTTGTTTTTCAGAGTCCATCGTCTCTCATGGTTCATCCACCCCTCCGATTTCCCCCCTTCATTCTTCCCCTCCTGCTACCTTCTTCTTCTTCTTTTTTTTTTCTTAACATATATTGCATTATTTGTTTCAGAGGTACAAATCTGAGATTCAACAGTCTTGCACAATTCACAGCGCTTACCAGAGCACATACCCTCCCCAGTGTCTATCACCCAGTCACCCCATCCCTCCCACCCCACCCCGCACTCCAACAACACTCAGTTTGTTTCCTGCGATTAAGAATTCCTCATATCAGTGAGATCATATGATACATGTCTTTCTCTGTTTGACTTATTTCACTCAACATAATACCCTCCAGTTCCATCCACGTCGTTGCAAATGGCAAGATCTCATTCCTTTTGATGGCAAGAGAGAATGGAAATCAATAGGAGAGATATTTAGAAAATAGAGTGGGGAAGATCTGGTGCCTGCTGAGAGGTGAGGGATGAAGACGCATCTAGGATGACTCCCATATTTTTTTTAGGCTCAGGTAACTGATTGGATGATAGCGCCATTCATTGAGATGACAAATGTGAGTGGAGAAGATAGGCATTGTGTCCACAATGGTGCTATCATCCAATCAGTTACCTGAGCCTAAAAAAAATATGGGAGTCATCCTAGATGCGTCTTCATCCCTCACCTCTCAGCAGGCACCAGATCTTCCCCACTCTATTTTCTAAATATCTCTCCTATTGATTTCCTTTCTCTCTTGCCTGGACACTTACTCTAGCTTTGTGACTAATTACTCTTGTCTACAGTCTTGTTACTTCTGATGTACTCCTCATACTAGCAGCCAGAAAGATATTTTTAACATGCACATCTGACCATGGAATTCCCCTGCTTAAAACTCTTCACCATTTCCTTATATGTTTTAGGGCACAATGTGAACTATTTTATCAGGTGGCCCATTTGTCATAATTGAGTCCAAAATGATTTCTTCATCTCATCTCCCATTGTACTCCTATTCTTCCACACACTTTGCTCTAGCCAACTTAATACCTTAATACCTCATTGGAGGTATGAAAAGAAAATATAGACAAACGTTTAGCTGAGATTTCAAGTATCTGATGGAGGATTGAGGGAGGTAACCTTTAAGGTCTCTTCTGTCCCTGAGCTCCAATAATTTCATGAAATAAGGAACAATAAAATGTGGCAGATCCAGTTCTAGACCACATGTTTAGAATCTAAGAACCACATGTTTAGAATCTAAGAACAGTTATATTTCTGATACAAGCCTGAGGTTCAGTCCCAGTTCAACTTCTTTCTGGTTGTATGAATTCTTGAAAACTCTTCTCTTGGAATCTCTGTCTCCTCTCTCCAACAATGAAAGATTCCGAACATGCAGGCTTGTTGTAACAAATCAGTAAGAGTCAAGCTTGGTGCCCAGTGCATATTAAGGACTCTATATTATGGCTTCTTTAAATTTCATAGGACTTTTTTTCAGAAAATATGAATTTTATTTTATTTCATATATTTTTTGTTATGTTATGTTAGTCATCATAGTTTTTGATGTAGTGTTCCATGATTCATTGTTTGTGTATAACACCCAGTGCTCCATGCAATACATGCCCTCCTTAATACCCATTCCTGGGCTAACCCATCCCCCTACCCCCCTCCCCTCTAAAACCCTCAGTTTGTTTCTCAGAGTCCATAGTTTCTCATGGTTCATCTCCCCCTCCGATTTCCCCCCTTTCATTTTTCCTTTCCTTCTCCTAATGTCCTCCATGCTATTCCTTATGTTCCACAAATAAGTGAAACCATATGATAATTGACTTTCTCTGCTTTGTAGGCCAGGACAGTCAAGAAATACTTCCTATAGGAAGTAGGAAGAGAAGCTCAGAGAAGAATACCACCTTTAATAGCCTCATAGAGGTCTTTTTAGGTGTTATCCAAACCTGAGGAAAAGTAAGGAGGACAAGGTAAAGTGCTCCTCACCCTGATGTTTTCTGCAATAATGCCAGGGTCATTACAGATGGACTCAATGAAAAAGACCTATAAGAGAAAAAGAAGAGAAATTTCCAGCAGGGAACTGTATTTGGTAGGGCCAAACATAGCTTCACCTCTTCTCAGTGGCTCTGAATCATCTCTAGGGGCATCTCTGACAACATAATTTCATACAGTGTTACTTTCAGGATTCTGAGTTTTATTGAGGCATATTGACTCTAAACTGAATGGCCCTGGGCGCCTGGGTGGCTCAGTTGGTTAAGCGACTGCCTTCGGCTCAGGTCATGATCCTGGAGTCCCTGGATCGAGTCCCGCATCGGGCTCCCTGCTCGGCAGGGAGCCTGCTTCTGCCTCTGACCCTCCCCCCTCTCAAGTGCTCTCTCTCTCTCATTCTCTCTGTGTCAAATAAATAAATAAAATCTTAAAAAAAAAAAAAAAAATAAATAAATAAACTGAATGGCCCTGGATTACTTTTTTATGTTTTTACTGGTTTTTAGTTCTTATATATGCTTTTTGTAGTAGTTCTCTTCTCTCCTTCCTCATTTCCACCCCCCACAGTGTCAGCCTGTCAGCAATTATCTTCCATTGCCTAATATAACGCCTCTTTCCTGTTCTGTTTTCTTGCTTCTAACTGTGATCTGGAAAGCCATATAACCAAATTAAAATGTTGAGCCTGATTTGTAGCTGATTTGACAGATTAGAGTCCTCTGGTTTGCCTTTCTTTGGGGTTTGTACTAGATAAATAGGCTCTAGATAAGAGTGGGAGTGTTACTATACCTTGTAACCATGTTCCTTAGCAAACTGCAGAATTAGTGACCGTCGTTCTCTGGTAGTGTTGGTGGCATCAAAAACCTAGAGGCCAATGATGAGATTGGTTTACTCTGAATTTGGTTTTGAGAGAACACCTATGCCTTGACTATCCTTGTGCTAAGGGGAGGGCTTCCAGGGTGACATAGAACTTGACTGAGTTTTGAAGAATAGGAAGGATTTGAAATTGACTTATTCCAATTTCTTAAGCATTCATTGAGCCCTTATTGTCAGTCCAGAAATGTAGCAGACTCTAGGTATAAACAAGAGGAAAATTGTAAATTTTTATTAGGGTAATTTTATAGGTAAAACAACCAAGGCTTAGAGGAAAGATTTGCCTTAACCAAGGCCCCAAGAGTTGCTAACAAAGCAGAGCTAGAATGGATCTTCTCAATTCCTAGTTGAGGATTCTTCCTTCCCTATCACTTTGGAGCTCTTCAAGAACAGGAAACAACTCCCTATCCTCAGCACCTCAGGTGGGACCATTTGAGGATCTTTTCCCCTTTTAGAATTCACAAATTTTACCCCAAGGGTCTATGAGATTAAATTGACTAGATATTTAGGTAAATCTCTAGAACTCAAAAATGTTTGTACTGTAATCTTAAAGTGTACTGAAGTCTTACTGAATTCTTGGGGGTGGAGTGGTAAAGCATAGCAGTTAAGAGTGTAGATTTTGGACCTATGCAACCTGAATTCTAGTTTTAGCCTTGCTGCATACATGCTGTGCCACCTTGGGAAATTATTTAATCTCTCTGTGCCATTTTTCTGGGCTATAAAATGGAGTATAACAACAATGCCTGTCTTATGGGAGAGGGTGGAATTAAATTAATATGTGCAAAGTACTTAGAATAGTGTGTAGAACATAGTAAATGCTCAATACATATTAGGGGTCCTTCATTCTGGCAGAAACTTGAGGGAAAATGCAAATTTCCTTACCGCAACATGACCTTCCTCATGGCTGAGATAGTCATGGACATCCTTCAGGGCTGCCAGGGCACACTGCCTGAAAAAGATGGAGAAAGAAACAGACAATCCTTGTCCCCAAGATGAGTTCCTCTCTATTTTTCTCCATTGTCTTTTGCACCATCTCTCAGATGTCTCACATTAAATTATTCATCAATGAAACATTTACACAGGGTATTCTATGTTCAAGGCACTATGACAAGCACAGACAGGTCACACAGTTGAAAGTGGCTCTGTGTGCACATTTTAGGGGCAGGCATAAAGTGGCATACCCAGGAAAAGTGGACTAATGACAGAGACATAATATTTAAAAACAACCTTTGAGGGGATAGAGCTCAAGTGGAACTGGTCCTTAAACCCAGGTAGAGTTTGAGTATATAGTGTGTGAAGTAGAAGGCATTCCTGGAATGGGTAACAGTACAAGCACAGGTATGATGGTGGCAATATATTTATGCATTTGGCAAAAATCTATTTAGTGATTACTCTTTGCTGGGTTCTATTATAAGGGCATGGATCAATAAATGAGACCTAGGATCTGTTCTGGAAGTGCTCAGTGTCTTGTAGAGGAGAGAGAACTTGAGATTGAATAAATGGTACTGGAGAGACTGGAATGGGCCATGCTATTGAGACTCTTAAATGCTCAGACTCAAATTTTCCACTCTCTCCTGTAAGGAGTAGGAGACCATTAGTTCCTAAGTTCTTAAGTAGGGGATGGTTATGACCAGAAACAGACTTTGGGTAAACTAGGGGAAGGGCTTTTCCAACCACCCTTTGAGAGTCTGGAAAACCTCCTTGCTAACCCAAATTACTCTGCCCCACACCCCCATTATCTGAACAAAGCCCTCCTTCAACAAGGAGCAGCACTGAACTCTAAAATATTAGACACTTACTTCCTGATATGTAGGGCCTCCATGTTGTCTGGAAGAAAAAATTCATAGTTCTTGTAGCTCACTGCCTCTCGTCGGTACTGGCCTAAATTAAACACTGAAAGCAGGGACACCTGGTGAAGGGGTTGGAAAGATTCTAGTGGAAAAATATGTCATTGTTGGGAGGGATTTCAGAGATTGAAGGAGGTATAATTTGTAGCTATAGAATATGCTTATAAAGCTTCAAATTATGGCTACCATCTCATTTATTCCTCAAAACAACCCTGCAACATAGAAATTATAATCCCATTTTACAAATGAAGAAATTGAAGTTCAGAGATAGGAAGTAACTTTCATAGTTAATAAGTGGGAAGCTGGGATTAAAAACCAGGTCTGTTTGGCTCCAAAGCTAGTGGATTTTCTGCTATTCTATCATAAACTCTAACCCTTCAGTGCTCTACTCCATTGGAAAGATAAGGAAAGAGATCCAGTGAGTAAAATCAATCACTAAGGATCAAACAGGTCAGCAGGTAATTTAGTGGTCAGTAGGTAACAGGACTAGACTGGGCCTCCTGAATCCTAGTCCAATGTTACTACATTTTCCTGTATCATGACAGAGAATCTAAATTTATTGCCCTCTCTAAGCCATACTTTCTCATCAGTAATAATGAAAAACCTGAGAGAAGGTAAGGAAAGGAGGAGAAAGAGGATAAGAAGCTAATGCAATATTTCATTCATCCATTCAATAAACACATTCTGATGCACACTCTGTAAAGCAGGACATGAGTTCTGAAGTCTCAAAGATAGATGAGATATGCATGATGGGGTCCCAAGGAGCTCACAATCCAGCAAGTAGGACAGAGAGTAAACCAGTAAATATAGAGTTCCCACACAGTTTGTTAAGTTCTCTGTCAGGCATTCGAAAGAATAAGGGGGAAGGACAAATTAATTACACTTGGGGTAATCTAAGATCATTTCTTGGAGAAAGCAGCATTTGAACCAGTCCTTTTAGGAAGGCAGGCCTTTTATAGACAGGCATGGGGGATGGGAGTGGGGAACAAAGACATTCCAGGTAGAGGAACACCATAAGCAACGGTATGACATTGGCAGAAGGCAGAATATGTTTAGGGGATGGTGAGTCATTCACTGTGACTGAAGCCTGAGAGACTGGCTGGGGTGGATTGTGGAGGGCCTTGAACAACAGGCTAAAAAGCTTGGGCTTAAACCTGCAGACCAAGAAGATCCTTGGAGGCTGTAGGTATGGTAAGCTTTGTGCTTTGAAACATGACTCTGAGGCTTTGTGCTCTGTGAGAATGGACTGGACTGGAGCAGATGGAAAGCATGTGTATTAGGGCAAAGACCCATCCATCACCATCTCATGTTCTCCTAACACCCAGCAGGAGCTACTTGGAGCCAGAGTCCTCCACAAGAACTATTCCTTCTCTCCTCTTCTGCCAATGTTCTACTCCTCCCACAAGACCAAGCTCAAATATACCCTATCTAGAAGCTTTCTCTGCCTTCCAGTTGGTGATTTCCTCTGTGAGCCCCCTCAGTACCCTGATCTAGGATTCCTTAAGTGACCATGAGGTGTTAGTATGCATCCCAGCCAGATAGAAAACTCTTCAAGGACAGGGTGTGAATCTCATTAATTTTTGCATCTTCAATGCCTAGCATGGGTTTTGGCACATAAAAAACCATTGGAAAACCCTTTGCCAGTGAATTAGAGAAAGTGCATGAAGGAAAAGAAGAAATGGGAGAAAGAGAGGAGGAGAGTTGAAGAGAGGGAGGGAAGGGGGAAGATAGGATGCTGAGATGGGCAAGAGAAAGGAGAGAAAAATAATGGAGAAAAGGTGAGTATAGGGTCAAGGTGGGATTATTTTTTCTTCCCATCAGTAGAGCCAAGTAGCAGACCTGGCACAGTGAGTGTCGGCTTTGGAATCAACCAGATGTGGGCTCATTTCCTGGTTCTGTCACTCAATGGCCATGTGCCTTTAGAGGTACTTCACCTCTTGGGCATTAATTTAATCAACTGTAAAATGATGATAATACTAGATTCTTTTTCATGGGCATTTTAGAACTTAAGAATAGATGTTAGTTCTTTGAGGATAGGCATCCTATCCTACTTGTCTTTGCCCAATATCCAACAAGGGCTTTTACACAGCTATCTGCTCAGTGAATAATTAATGATTGAATAAATAAATGCCCAAGGAGAACTGCTTGCTGCAATGGGGAGCAGTGCTCCATTTCACAAGAGAGAGTCTAAGTACTTGCTTAGTGTACCAGGAAAGGAGGAACATGGTCGCAATATAATTTTTAGATAAGTTGATATTCATTGAAAGTATCAATATAGTCATTGGGGATAAATAAAAAACACTGGTAGACTTTCTTACCATTACTGTTTTTATTCAGAATTGTATATGATGTGGAGGCACCCTATTTCTTACTGTTTAGAGCCTCTAAATGTCTTAATCTGGTCATATTTGAGAGAAGGAAAGGAATATGACCTGGTCCCCTGTCCCCAGAACAGCTCCTGGGGAAAGATACCCAGACACACACTACAACAGCACACTCTGTAATTAGTGTTGGCATAGAGGGGGCTGTTGGGAGGGTTGGTATGGGAGCTCAGAGAAGCACAGTCCTCTTAGGGGGAACAGAGCCATCAAATAGGAATGGAGATACAGGGTGGGGGTGGGTAGAAAAATCAAATGGGGAATAGGAGAGAGTGATTACTAAATAACTGATAGTAAGCAGAAAAGAGACCACACTGAGGAGAATGGAAAGTTGGAAATAGGGAGTGAAGGAGGAGATTGACAGGCAGGGAAGGAGGCCCTTTTGGCGGTGGAAAAAGGCAGGACCACTTCCAGCTGGGGAGGGGAAGTAAAAAAGCTCAGACCTAAGGAGAGGCTTGGAGAGAGTGGATACCTTCTGAACTCCAGAGGATGAGGTGAATGAAGGTGCCCAGCTTTAGTAAAGACCCTGTGGGAACCTCTGGGCTGTGGCTTCAATATGCTTGATTCTACATACCCTAAGGCTTGAAGAAAATCTTAAGGTTTTGGATAAATGGTAATGCTAATCAAAATAGTATTATTGGTGTTATAATAATAATAATGGTAATAAATAATAATAATGGTAATAAAAATAGTATATTACTCATAGGATTGTGTTAAGTTCTTGCAAAACTGGAGGTCCTTGAGAACAGACATTTAATCTTACTAGTTTTCCTATACCTAGTACCTAGAATACAGTTAGGCATAGAGTATGTGCTCAAGAAATTGTAAAACTTTTAAGAGTGTGGTGGTAGTTGTTGTAGTAATAGTAGTAGTAGTAATCCTAAGATTGGTAATAATGTTTTGAGGCATTCTGAGGCCTGCTACCTTACTCTTCAGCCAGTGGCCGGTAGGGGGCTATAGAACAAAGGGTTTCAGAGACATACCTTTAGTCGGTGTTCCTATCCAGTTGAGATATCTTGTGAGCTTCGTGGAGATGTAGGTCTTTCCTCGAGCTGGTAAACCCACCATGATCACCATTGTGGGGGAATTGGTAAACTGGGGTATTGATGCTGGAAGATAAACAAAATCTCAAAGCCTTATCCCCAGGTCCCCATCATCTTCTGTTATCAGCTCAGAGATGTTGAATTGGGAAAACATCTTCCCTACTATTATAACAATGACAATAACAAAAACCTGGAAATTTTCAAACTGACTTCTGAATTCATCAGAAAACTGAGATTACAGTGTGAACAGCTAACCCCAAATCCATAAAGACAGGTAGTCATCTGCAGGGAGCAATAGGGCCCAGGTATTTGCTTATCTTTCATAGATACTACTGCACAACATATAAACTCATAAGAGGATTCAGCTAAAAAATTTTAATAAATTGCTAAAGGTTCATTGTGGGCTAGCATGAGAATGTGAAGCCCCTGGGGCTGAAGACATAGGCGGTTTTGCATCCTCTAGGAATTCCATCAGGTACAGAAGAATCCTGAAAAATATGTCCTGTAGTTCTGGCTTGGAGAGGAAAACAGAATAGCAGCCATTGCTGAAATTGTGCCCAGGCCATTCTCCCTTTGTATTCTATGAAACAAAAACCTTAGTCTTCATAGAGAAAGGGAATGCAACTGTAGTTTGAGAGCACTGGTGGAAATTAAGTGCTGCTGACAGAGAGGAATGGCCAACACTATTGAAACTCTGCTGAGACCAATCTACTCCATCTCCCCTAAAGAAAATAAGCCTTAATCTGAAGAAGGAAGGGCAACAGAAAGTGAGGACACTGGTAGAAACTCAACACAGCTGGAGAAGGAAAATGGAAAAATGCTGTAGCCCAGGAGGCATCGGAATATGCACTAGGCGCACCATTATGGTTAAAGAAGAATCAGGAACACATGGGAAGGTCACACCTCCAAGATTGAGGATAAGACTGCCTAAGATGGAGGCTTAATCAGACTAACATGGAACATCATTAGTCCCCTATTCCCTACTATCAGGCTAAAATAAGTAAAATAATAGAAGACTACATCTTCAAAGGATGCAAAAGATAACTGTCTCCAGAGAGCAGTCCAAAGGGAAGAATCAAGGCAAGAAAAAAAATAGTCTGAAGAGACAAATCATTAGGATCAGACTCAGTTATGATATTCATGTTGGAATTATTAGGCAAGGAATTTAAAATAGTTACGATTGATAAGTTAAAAGCTTTATTGAAAAGGTGGATAGCATGCAAGATCAGATAGATAATTTCAGTAGAGGGATGGAAAGTATAAGAAAGAATCAAATATAAATGCAAGAGAAGAAACACAGTAATTGATCTGAAGAATGTCTTCAATGTTCTCATAAGTGAACGTAACATAGCTGAGAAATATATGAACTTGAAGATAGATCAGTAGAAATTACACACCCTAAAAAGCAGAGAGAAAAAAAAATTGTAAAAAAACAAACAAACAAAACAAAACAACCCAGAACAAAACATCCAAGAACTTTGTATGAAATAGTGTAATATATATGTAACATAGAAATATCATATATAGACATATATATGTAATTAGAATATATATATATATATATATAATGTAATATATATGTAATTAGAATAACAGAACGAGAAGAGGGAGATAATGGGAAAGAAGAAATATTTGAAGAAAGAACTGCCAAAATTTTCCAAAATTCAGTTATTGATACCAAACCACAGATTCAAGTATCTCAGAGAATACCAAGCAAGATAAATAAAATTTTAAGCACACCACACCAGACATAGCAAATTCAAACTGCAGAAAATCCGGCAAAAATAAAATACTGAAGGAGGCCAGGAAAAAGGGGTAGTAGGAACACCTTACTTACAGAAGAACAAGGAGGAGAATTATACTGGACTTCTTGTAAGAAGCCACATAAGCAAAAAAGATAGTGGAATAAAAAATTTAAAGTATTGGAAGTAAGCAACAACAGCAACAACAACAAAAAAGCCCCACAAACGCTGCCAATCCAGAATTCTAAATTCAGTAAAAATGTCCTTCAAAAATAAAGGCAAAATAAATACTTTTATTTCAGACCAAAAAAAAAAAAAAACAGGAAATTCATCACAGGCAGACCTTTCTTATAATAAATATTAAAGAACAATATTTAGGCAGAAAAGATCTGATATAGGTCAGAAAATTGGATCTACATCATTAAAGAAAAGCATTGGAAAAGGAATAAATTAAGGCAAAATATACCTTTTATTTTGCATATTCTTAATTGTTCTAAAAGATAACTGACCATTTAAAGCAATAATAGTAATAATGTATTGGGTGTTCATAGCATATATCAAAATGAAATAAGTAAAACAATGACACAAGGAAAGGGAGGAAGAGTCTGGGAATATTCTGTTATAAGGTATTTGTTCTACATGTAAAGTGATATAGTGTTATTTGAAGGTGAACCCAAATTATTTTAAAACATACATTGTAAACCCTAGGGGAACCACTAAAAAGTAAAAAAAAAAAAAAAAAAAAAAAAAAAAGCATGAAGATATATAAATGATAAGTAAACACAAGCAATAAAATGAGATCATGAAAAATGCTCAGATAAGATGAGGAAAAAGCAAAAAAAAAAAAAGATAAAAAAGAAACAAAGAAATCTGGGAAGATGGTGGTGGAGTAGGAAAACTCTAGGCTTGCCTTGTCCCACAAATACAACTAGATAACTATCAAATCATCCTAATAACCCCAAAACCAACCTGAAGAATGGCAGAACAAACTTCACAACTAAAGGTAGAGAAGAGCCCACATTGAAGAAGGTAAGAAGTGTGGAAACACACCTTGGGAGAGAAACAGATCATTGTCACCATGGTGGGGAAGGAGCTGCAGTTGCAGAAAAGGGTGACACAGACTAGCACACAGGGGAGCCCACATAGAGAAGACAAGCATCAATGGAAATTGGCTTGGAAAGTAAAAGGGGCTGAATTTTGTGAGTTCTTGCAACCACCAAGACTTAAAGCCTGGAGATTTAAAGGCCAGCAGGATTGGCTCTGGGAAAGCATAGAGGGCATTAAGGATGCTCTTGGAGAGAAAGCAGGGCAAACAGTCTGCGGGCATAAAACTTGAAAACAGCAATCTGAAGAGTGCCTGGGATACACAATGGGGAGGTTATTTGCTCATCTTGGAGTGTGTCACTGAGTGGTAACATTCAGGGAAAGACCCCACTGGGAACAAAGCGAATGACAGGCACCATTTCTCTCCCCTACCCCTCAGTTTAAGAACAGGACCACTTGTGGGACCCAGCCAAGGCCTACACTTGCTACCAAACTAGCTTATACCAAACCGTGACCTCCCCCCCCACACACACACACACTCTGGTGGAACTGCCCTTCCCAGTCATGCTTGCCTCAGTTCCATTGTGGCAGGACCCTTCTCCTAGAAGACCAGCTCAAACCCCTGCCCACATTGCATCCCTCGAACCAGGAGTTTTGCAGGGCTTTGGTTCTGGCAGCAATGGTGGAAGCACAAGCAGACCAGAACACACCTAGTTAAAAATTGCCACACTCAGACCAGGTACCAAATATTGCCCACAACAGGTGAAGAGAGCCTTTGCAGATGACTAGCCTGAAGGATAAAGCAGCCATGATACAGTGGCAGAGCACATGCGGCACCAATTGGAGACATCCCCTGAAGCACTAGGCCATGGGGAATAGAGGACACTATACTATGGGGTATTATAGGACCTCTTCTTCATAAGGCCATTATCCTCAAGAACAGGAGAAGTAGCTGACTTTCCTCACATACAGGAACATGCATAAGTACTTACACAAAATGAGAAGACAGACAAATTTATTCCAAATGCAAGAATTGGATAAGGCCATGACCAGAGGTCCAATCAAAACAGATATAAGTGACATGCCTGACAGAGAATTTAAAGTAATGATCATAAAGATACACACTGGACTTGAGAAAAGACTGGAAGGCATCAATGAGTCCCTTAATACACAGATAAGGAATAACATAACAGAGATAAAGGGTTCAATAAATGAAATGAGAAACACACTTGATAAAATGAACAGCAGGCTGGAAAAAGCAGAACAAATTAGTCATCTAGAAGACAGAGTAATCAAAAGTAATCAAGCTGAACAAAAGAAAAAAGAATTGTGCAAAATGAGAATAGGTTTAGGGAACGGAGAGACTCTATCAAACATAATAACATTCATATTATAGGGATCGCAGAAGAAGAGAAAAAATAGTGGGCAGAAAATTTACTTGCACAAATAATAATGAAAAAATTCCCTAATCTGAGGAAGGAAACAGATATCCAGATCCAAGGGACACAGCAATGCTCCAACAAAATCAATAAAAGCATATCCACACTAAGACATATTATAATTAAAATGGCAAAAATTAGTGATGAAGAAAAATTTTACAGGCAGCAAGTCAAAAGTTACATACAAGGGAAACCCCATAAGACTGTAAATGAACATTTCAGCAGAAACCTTGCAAACCAGAGAGAGGGAAATGATACATTCAAATTGCTGAATGGGAAAAATATACAACCAAGATACTCTATACAGCAAGGCTATCATCCAGAATAGGAGAGATAAAGAGTTTCTCAGATAACTAACATAACATAATTAAAAAAAAAAAAGTTTCTCAGACAAACAAAAACTGAAGGAGTTCATGATCATTAAACCAGCCTGCAAGAAATATTAAAGGGGACACTTTGAGTGGAAAGGAAGGATTATAAATGAGAAGATGAAGGTAGGAAACACAAAAGCAATAAAAATTAATATTTCTGTAAAAAACCAGTAAAGGAACTCACAAAATAAAAGATTGCAAAATATGATACCATATATCTCAAACATGGGAAGGAGAGGAGTAAATAATGAGTTCAAACTTAAATGACCATCAACTTGATATAGACTGCTATATATGGGAGATGTTATATGCAAATCTAATTGTAACCACAAATCAAAAACCACTAATATGTATGCAAAGAAAAAGAGAAAGAAATATAAATGTATCACTAAGGAAACCCAGCAAACCATGAAAGAAAGAAAGAAGGAAAGAGAATGAACAGAGAAAAATTTCAGAAACAATCACAAAAC